GAACGGTCCGAGAGGACCCCATTAACCCTGACCATTGCAGTGGGCTCAGTCCCCCTCAAGAACTCCAGAGTGAGGATAAATATAAGAGGCGACAACGGGCATCCCTGGCGCGTACCATTCGTGATGGAGAACGGTCCGAGAGGACCCCATTAACCCTGACCATTGCAGTGGGCTCAGTGTATAGAGCGGTGATCCAGCGCCTCATATTCCTCCCCAGATCCGCGTGCGAGAGCATCCCCCTCAAGAACGACCAATCGACCCTGTCGAAGGCCTTCTCCGCGTCCAGGGACAGCAGGAGAAGAGGCTGTGACAGGGAGCGAGCTAGGTGTATCACATTGAGGGTCCTTATGGTGTTGTCCCCGGGCTAGCGACCAGGGACAAAGCCCACTTGGTCCCAGCTTATAAGGTCTGGTTTAAGAGGGAGCAAACGAGAGGCCAGGACGCGGGTGAAAATTTTGAGGTCCACATTCAGCAAAGATATGGGTCTATAACTGGCACACTGTAAGGGATCTTTCCCCTCTTTTGGGATAACCGTGACATGGGCTCTCAAAGAGTCCCGGGGCACTGGTCTGTCCTCTAGGATGGCGTTGAAGGCAGAGAGGAAGTGAGCATCTAGCTGCTCCCGATAGAGCTTGTAGTACGGGAGAGTTAGCCCATCCGGGCCAGGTGCCTTACCCGGCTTCATATCGCGTATAGCGCGTTCAAATTCGGCTTGGGACAACGGGGCCTCTAACGCCTGACTGTCGGATTCGGACAGTCGTGGCGCGCCTGAGCCGGCCAGGTAGTCCCTGATTTGCGACTCCCTCGCCTCCTGGGCAGGGTGGTCGGGCGCAGCTTTCAGATTCATTGAGCGTCTCCTGCTCTTCTCGGCCTGAGAGAGGGGTCCCCGCATAGCTCCAACCTCCATTGGCTCATCTCTTTGGGGGGATCTCGGTCTCTTAGGGACGGTAGTGCTACCGTATACCCGTTCCGCCTTCCTTTCTCGGAGACGTCTGTCGATTGTCACGGATCGGTGGATCAGGTCATCCAGGGTGTGGGGTAGCACGTCACGGGCAATCTCATCTTTAAGAGCCTTGGAGAGCCCAAGACGGAACTGGTTACGGAGGCTGACGTTGTTCAATTCCGTCTCTCTGGCCCAACGGTGGAACTCCGCTATATAGTCCTCGACCGGTCGTCTACCTTGCTTGAGGCCCCTTATGGCGGTCTCAGCGGTCAGCTGTTTGCTGGTATCATCATAGAGGAGTGCCATGGCTTCCAGGAACCTAGGGAAGGACTCGAGTATGTCATCGTCTTCCTCTAGGTAGGTCTCTGCCCAGGCCCTAGGTTCCCCCTTGAGGTATGAAATTAGGGTCATGACCCTAATGCGGTCACTGTGATATGTTCGGGGCCGTAAGTCGAACATCAGCTTGCAGGAACTCACAAACTGACGGTAATTCTGTCTATCCCCAGAGAAAGGCTCTGGGGCACAGACTTTGGGTTCGGGACCCTCGCGGGGCCGGACTGCCTCGGCATTCTGATTAACAAGGGTGCGTAATCTCTGATTGTCCACTTGTAAGTCCTGCATGGATGTGGTTAGGGTCTCCACCCTCTGGGATAAGGTGACTAGATGTCTTGCTAGTTCCGCTGGATCCATAATTCTTTTGGGTTCCACAATTATGTCACGCCTGGTCAGATTGAAACGGATAGGATCTCGATAGGAACTGCGGAGGGTATAAGCTACCGTAGGTAGTAGTTGAAGGCTTCTCAGGCGTGAATCTCAGGCGTCGCTCCCAATCTTTATCGGGGAGTTAGAGATTCTTGCATCACAGCCTTAGAACGAAAAATAGAAAGGGTAGAGAGGTGTGGGCTATTGCTTCATAGCTTACAGTCTCTATACTATAAGGAAACTTGAATACGGATAAGCAGTAAGAACAATGACCCCGTATTGACAGGGATTGAGCAATGCAAAAATCCCCACAGACAGATGATAGTAATCCTCTAGACAGTCTATATCACTTAGCGAGGTTGCTTGAAAGTATCAAGGTTTAGGACTCCAACTGGAGAAATACTTGCGGTTTGCACAATGTGAGGGATGCAGTGATTCCTGTACTCAAGAGGTAGGTTCCGGCTCTGACAATCCAGGGGAGATGGTCCTAGGCTTCAGGAGGCAACAGGCGCTTCTGAACCCAATTGTGGAACGCCATGTTGCCTCAGCTGAGCCCTTAAATACCCCCAGGAAGCAGGAGGAGCCGTCGGCCGGAACGAGCGGCTTCCGCGTTCCACAGTGGAACGCAAGCCGCTCGCCTTGCAATCAGGAAGTCGAGCGGCTTCCGCGTTCCACCGCGGAACGCAGAGCGGCCGCTACAGCAGAGGGGACGGTCGGAGTGACACTTCCCCGCCGGGACCCGTTACATCAATCAATTGTAAGTCATACAAGGAACGCTTGATGCGTCTCCTCTGGGCATGCGGGATCTGGGATAGTCCCCTAGACGAGTCCATGGATGGGTCGAGCACCAGATTAAAATCTCCTCCTAACAACCATAACCCCTCAGCGAAGGACAGCATGCGGGACCACACTGATTCTAAGAAGGCCACCTGTCCTGTGTTAGGGGCATAGATCGCAGCAAAGGTCACCGTCCTGCCATGTAGCGTCCCCTTGACCAGCAACAGCCGGCCCTCTGGGTCAGCGTAGTGGTCTGCATAAGTCCAGGACAAGGATTTGGCCAGCACCACGCTCACCCCTCTAGATTTCGAGTCAGGGGAGGGGGCATGGTAAGACGTTGTGTATCTATGGTTCCCCAGTTTCGGGATACGCCCCACCATGAAATGGGTCTCCTGTATAAAGGCTACCTGGGTTCTAGAGCGCCACAGCTCTGCCAGTAGGGCCGACCTTTTTTCAGGGACTCGCAGACCCCGGACATTAAAGGAGGTGACACACAGCTCAGGCATGATCGGCCGCTCCAACTATCGGCAGATCCGCCGTCCGCTGCACCCGGGGGTAAGACACCAAGACAAATAGACCAAGGGAGAAGAGTAGAGGGGGGAGCAAGCACAGACAAAGACCACTCGAAGGTGGGATCCTTCCTGACCCTCGAGTGGGAACACAACACGAAACACAACACGGGTGTTTCCAAGGGATTAACTCCAACCTGGAGAGGAAACACCCCACACTAGGGGGAAGAGGCTGAACACAGCAGTGATGAGTGACGCAGACCCGGGAGTGCTAGTGGGCAATAACAACCCCACCGATCCCCGAGCTATCTCCAGCTCAACGTGAGCAACTATAGTAAAACTGTCTCCAGCGGAGCACAACAACCCGGACCTTCAGAGAAATCCCTCCCTCCCATTGGCAACCAAAGGCCCCCCCCAGCCTTGTAAACTGTGCCCGACCAGGTGTTCCACGTCCAGATAGAGCCACGGGGCCTCAACACGCCCAACCGGCCTCAGGGACCCGGCATCAGGACATATCCCCCCCTCCCGCACCCCCCAGCCGAGCGCGTGATATGGCGCAGGCAGCCCCCAGGTCGGGTCCCCCTATCGTACCCATCGGGGCAGGGCTCCCCTCGCCACATCAGGCCACCACTTAGAATCCATATCCCAGGAACAAGCACCTAGGGGAGCTAAGTCCCCCCCAGACAGATAAGTCAGTCATGTATGTGGGCACGGCCCCCACATACGTAAACACTTCCCCTGTTCTCCCACCCTGCTTTACCGGCACAATGAGTATATACAGTTCAAGTGGCTTGCGCCCAGTCCAGCAGATCCACCAGGAGGAGCTGGTTGGGGACGAGCGTACCGGCATAAGCAGGGCTAAACCACAGGAGCTGTCCACAATCATATCACTGTGAAATACGGATGCCTCCATGGTAAGGAGGGAGTCACAGGAGCATCAAGTATGCCTATGAGGCACGAAGAATGCAAGGGGTATCAGCCACAATACGTCTCAAAGTCAGGGTCATAGCTTCTCACATGAAAGGCCCAGGTGGCAGAGGGCATGAGCGTCTCAGGGGGATGACAAAGGGCATATATCCAGGGAGGTGGCGTCCCGCCTGTGGCTCAAATCTCTGGGTCAGAGGGGTGTCCTCTCCGGGATGCCCGCGAGACAGATATGGCTTCTACGACGTCGTGGAGGTCTAGAGGGTCTGGCGTTGTTGGACGAGGGGGTCTCCAAAGGCGTTACCTCCAGCCAATCTGGCAAGGACAGATCCGGGCAGTCCAGGAATACCGCCAGGTCAGGCCCCTGGCGGGGGTGCACCAGCCTGAAGAATCGGTCCCCCCTTTCAATCAGGACCGAGAAGGGGTAGCCCCAACGATAGGGTATCCCCTTAGAGTGTAGTACATCCGTCAGGAGCTTCAGGAGTCTGCGACGGTATAAAGTCTGGGGGCACACGTCTGTCAGCATGAGCACGTCCACTCCATCAAAGTCGACCGTACCTTGGCGCCAGGCCTGGCGTATGATTTCCTCCTTGATCCCAAAGAAGTGAATCCGGCATAGAACGTCTCTGGGTCTCTCGTTAGCTGCCTCTCGGGGACCCAGGGTCCTGTGTACCCGGTCTATCTCAATAGGGTCAGTCGGGGCTTTTCCCAACAGGGAATTGAAGATAGCAGTGACGGCCACCTTAAGGTCAGGGCCGCCTGTAGCCTCAGGGATCCCCCGTAACCGTAAGTTATTATGGAGGTTGCGGTTCTCAGAGTCCGCTTGGCGCAGTTGCAGCTGCAGCATGTGAGCCTTCTGTTGCAGTAGAGAGGCTTCCAAAGTGGTCACCCTGTCAGCTATGGAGCGGTCAGACTGTTCCAATGCACATATGCGGTGGTCCTGCTTCTGGACGTCTGAGCTAACCTCCGCCAGTTCTGTGTGGAGCGTAGCCACCAGCTGGGCCATCATCTCCTGCATGTCAGCTCGTGTTGGAAGTGCTGCCAGCAGTTCATGTAGCCCAGTGTCACCAGACAGGCCCGCAATGCAGAGGCGCGGCGATTTCGGCCCCAGGGATGGAGAGGGCACTCCGGACATCCTTCCTGACATGGAGGAGGCTGGGGAGGAGGGCGGTTCAGAGATGGCCTCCAAAGTCCGCCTGTGAGCCGCGTCAGTGAGCGGAGGCCGCGGGGATCACCCCGCCGGCGAATCAAAATCGAGCTCTCAGGTCCGAGCGTGTGGACTAGGCCCCGGTTGCCGTGGGGAGACATAGGCGTCCATTCAGGCCTGCGATCGGAGCTTGGTGGAGGAGCGGGGGGTCTTAGACTTCTTACCCGTCCTCTTCATGGGGCGGCAGGGTCAGGTATAAGGCAGATCAGCTGTAATTAGCACCCCAGGTCCGCGGAGCTCTGCGGATTAGCGTCCACTCGCCGCCATGTTCAGGCCACGCCCCCGCTTGTTTCTTTCTAATCATTAATATTAGGAAGTTTTTCCACCATGTATCGGGGGACCGTTCTTTATACAGCATTATACTTAAGTTTAATGCTATACTGATTATAACTTAAAGTTTTTTGCTGATTGGTGTTGAAACCGAACAGCAGATCTACTCACATGACCTCTTGGTCAGTCCTTCAATTTTCCGTTCACGGGTTTCCCTCGAGTGAAGATGTTTGTAGGTTTTCGATCACTGGATGTCTTTTTGGTTTCCCTTACTTGGTGGTATATCCAAGTGTTGATGATCCAGACAGACACTAGTGCTGTTGGGTAGATCCACGCGTTACTTTTTATCCAAATATTAGGGCTGTACAGCCGGCAGTCTCCGGGTCATCCAACTAGTCTTTAAGAGCGGCGTCTACGCGTTTCGCCCCTCCTCTTGGGGCTTTTGTCAGGACGTTCTGCTCTATTCTTGTAACGACACCCAGATAAGTGGAGGAGTTTGGAGGGATCCAGTGAAGTGAAACCTTTTGATCCATGAAGAGGATTGCAGAGGGATGGAGGTAAAGTCATGTTCCAACCATACCCAATCCTTCAAATGAGCATGGATATTCCAATCCACCATTTGAGCTAGGTGGCAAGCGTGATAGTACTGCTTCATGTCCGGGAAGCCAATGCCACTCAGATGATTTGGAAAAAATGGTGCAAATGCTCACAAGTGATGTTTTTTTGTCCCAAAGAAAACTTCTAAAGAGGGATTGAATGGACTGACATTGAACCATAATCGGCTCCAATTGAAAAATATATAACAGCCTGGGAAGGGCATTCATTTTTATGATGGCCGCCCTGCTGAATCAAGAGAAGTGGCATTTGTTCCAGCTTGCCAAATCACATCATAGGGTTGTCAACAGCCAAGCAAAATTAGCAGAGTAGAGATTTTGGAGGTGAGCAGTGAGGTAAATTCCCAGGTAATTGATCTCTAAAGAGAGATGATTATGAATACTTTACCTTAAAGTTAGAGAACAAATTAAATTCCTCAAACACTTTCAGTAAGTTCAAAATAGAGATCAAGGGCTGGGTCAGTGAAAAACAGCAGGTTGTCTGCAAAGGCCTATACTTTAACCGCTTCTCTGCCTGCTATTGTAATTGAACGGCAGGCCGGGAGCTTCTTAATCTGAGTGGGTGTTTTTAGGCGTCCTTGCCCGTCCAGCTCGTGCTGGATCACTTGTGTTATGCAACTGGGTGTGCGGCTCCGCCGCCGATCCCAAGCTCCGCTGTGCCCTGTGCGAGCCCAGGACCCGCACGGCGGCTGTCACCGGAGATCATACATCACTTCCGCATTCAGCTGTCATTCTCGGGCTTCTGTAGCTGGAGAGAAGCTGGTGAAGCAGATCTCTGCTTCATCAGCTTCTTTGGGGGTCCCTAGGTAACATTAGGTGTTTTAGAGAACCCCTGATGTCTCAATAAAGAGGACCCGTCTGTAAAACAAATTGGCTATCACATAGGGGGCTTCTTAGTCCCCTTCTTTTTTATATATCACATGTAAAAATGTTTTAAAAAAACACAAATAAATATTTAAAGTCCCCAGCCCCCCACATACACACACAAACATGTGTCGGGTGCGCCCACGTGCAAAAATTATGATTTTACCCATTGCGCAGCACATGTTACATATCACTGCGAATGTCAGAGTGAGGGCAATCATTTTAGGGGCATCAATCAATGTTAACACCTGTAGAAATAGTAGTGGTGGATCAACCTATCTGGGTAAGGCCTCTTGCCTGCCTTGAGTTGCAAGATCACAAGCTACACTTCTTCCGAACTTGCAGGAGATTTTTCAAAATGCCATCCTGCGGCGGGTGTTCATTGCAGCGGCGGGACGGCAGTCGTTGTTTTTTAAATTATTATTTCTATTTATTTTTTATTGTTTTATTTTTTATTTTTTATTTTGTCGAGTCGTCGTCGTCGTGCACAACCCTGGACGTCGTGATTGATTTTTTTTTTTATTGAAGGACTTGTCAAATTCTTTTTTGTGTTTTTTTTGTCAAATATAGAATTTTGGATACAAGTCTGGACTTTTTATTTAAATGTATTGTAACCCTTTAGTAAATGGGTAGGGATACAAGTACCCTTTACTCATTCACAAGGGGGGCGCTGGAAAAGCACCCTCCCAGTGCCGAGTGCATGTGGCCTGGTATCGCAGGAAGGGGGGGCGCTTACTCGTCCCCCTTTCCTGCCCTGCCAGGCCTGTGCTCGGATCAAGGGTCTGGTATGGAATTTTAGGGGGGGCCCATGTCCCCTCCCCCCTTTTTGGAGGTGGGGTTCCTCAAAACTCCTACCAGACCTTAAGGTCCTGGTATGACTTTAAGGGGGAACCCCACATACTTTTTTTTTTACATGGGGTCTTTTTTTTCTTTAGAAATGGCAGTTTTGCGGTCATCTGGGATTGATGCATATAGGGCATGTGAGTTCGAAGGGATCTATTACAATCTGTTCTCTGTTTCCAGAATGGGCGAGTACAGCCCATCCTGGACCTGAAGTCACTAAACAAGATCTTGCAGTACACATGTTCTGCATGGAATCGGCTCACTTCATAATTGTCTCCCTCCTGTGGATAGATTTAATAAATACATTTATAACCAGAAATGGCAGTTTTGCTGCAGCAGGTTCTATACATCATACAGATGCGCCACTTTTACAGGTAGGTTAAGGGGACCCCCAGGCACGATATTTAAAGGAATTTTTCATTTTTATTGTTACCCTTTAAGTGATGTTAAAATCACTGCTCCTTTAAAAACTGTGTATTTTGTAAGTTTGTTTGGTTCATTTTCCCCAGGGCAGTACCCGTATCCCCATATACTTTTTATGGCCAATAACTTTCATATAAGCCCTCCGGCCGTTGTAAAAAAACAGCCCGCCGGAAGCTCTCTGGATCTAAACTGGCATTTTTAAACGTTCGTTCAGCCACGCCCACTCGCTCGCGCCGTGCGGGAAAGTGCCAAAATTTAAAAACAGGCAGCGATGCCTGTTTACATACAAGCAATCTGTCGGCTATAAAGTTGGCAGATCGCTTGTATGAGGTTCCGGTATGTGCGCCCCCTCCCGCTGTCACACTGGATCCAGGCTCCGCTGTGCCCGGTGCGAGCCCAGTACCAGCATGGTGGCTCTGTGACAGGGGATCAGAGGGAGATCGGTACACAATCTCCCTCCAGTCCCCTCTCCGGTGTCAGAATGCGGAAGTGATGTATATTACATCACTTCCGCATTGTTGTGTCACTCTCCAGCTTCAGAAGCTGATGAAGCAGTTCTCTGCTTCATCAGCTTCTTTGGGCGTCCCTGGGTGACATTAGGGGTCTTGCAGATCCCTGATGTCACCATAAAGAGGACCAGTCACATACTCTTTGCTATCACATAGGGGGGTTTCTTAGCCCCTTATGTGATAACAATAAAGTTAAGTGTAAAAAAAAAATAGGAAAAAAAATTAAAGTTGCAAAAAAAATTAAAAGTCACACATGAAAAAGAATAAAAAAACACAAAAGTCCCTATACACACGCATGCAAACATGTGTAGGGTGCGCATACGTGCGAAAACGGCGAGTGCGCCCATTATGCCGCCTATTTTACATATCGCCGCGAACGAGAGCAATATTTCTAGGCCCATCCATCACTGATAACACTAAACTGATGAGCAGTAAAAGCTTTTAGGGCTTGTTCACATTCTGTCTGGACCAGAACCGTGCGCTCCTGCACCCAAAATTCATCCCAATATCTCCCTATGTGTTTTATGGGCTACAATTCTCGCCAGGCAAGTCCGTTGTAGTCCGGACATAAAAAATACTGCATGTCACATTTTCTCTGATCAGGAAACGGACCAGAAACGCACGAACGCGTAAAAAATGCAACGATAAAGCGCCGAAAACGCGCAGTACATTTGGACAAATCTACCACTTCAGAAAAGCATGGGTTCAGTAAAGGCATATCTCTTCAGTGGAGAGGCAAAAGCAGAGATGAGGTTAGACATCTCCTGAACCATCTATACATCAAGCTGAACCCATCTATATCAAGGGTAAAACTACTCCGATCGTCCTATTTTGGCCTTTGGGTGAACATACACAGTACTGTGAGTGAAATCTATATATTCTTTCCAACTAAATGAGATTTTTTTTACGTTTGACTGTTTTTTCTCCTCTTTTTTTCATTCCTTTTTTCATACACGTTTATGGTAGAGAGATATATATATATATATTTTTTTCACCGTTACCCAAGACCTGATATCTCCTTTCTAAACAACAGAGAGCTTGAGTTATTTAGAATTCTCTGATAACATATCGTTACATCCTTATAGAGTGAAGCGATTCACGTTGTGCCTTTAACCCACGTCTAACCCATGGTTATCCACACGCATGTTTTCATTTACTAGCCGTATGCAGCCATTTATATGTGTGTTTATGTTTTTGATATAGATTTTTCGATATATGTGCAATTTTAATATATTTAACCACTTGAAGACCGCGGTGTTTTACCCCCTTCCTGGCCAGGCTATTTTTCAGTGTTCAGCGCTGCGGTACTTTGGCTGACGTTTATTCCGTCATGCAACGCTGTACTGAAATTAATTTTATACCATTTTTTGGGGACAGATAGAGCTTTCTTTTGGTGGTATTTAATCACCGCTGGGGTTTTTATTTTTTACTATATAACAAAAAAAGTACCCTAAATTTTGTAAAAAAAAAAACATTTTTCCCTATAAAATGTTATGAAACATTTATTTTCACCCCAATTTTTTGGTATACTATAAAAGACGGGGTCACGTCGGGTAAATAGACACTAAATATGTCAACCTTTAAAATTGTGCGGGCCCGCGAAAGCGCAGAAAACGACCGCAACCAAAATTGGCCATAGGCGACACTTTAAACGTTTTTACCGCTCATCAGTTTAGTGTTATCAGTGATTGATGGCCCTAAAATTATTGCTCTCACTCCGAGGTTCGCGGCGATATGTAACATGTGCTGCATAATAGGCGCAATCGTCGTTTTCGTACATAGGCGCACCCGACGCATGTTTGCATGTGTATGTGGGGGGGCGGGGGACTTTAAAACATTTTTTATGTAATTTTTTTTAATTATTATTTGTGAATATTTTTTTTGCTTCTTTATTTTTTTTAATGCTGTAATTTTTTATTTTTTTTTACTTTTTTTAGACAACTTTATTGCTATAACATAGGGGATTAAGAAATCCCCTATGTAATAGCCAGTTCACCAAACAGGTCCTCTTTATGGAGACATCAGGGGTCTCCAAGACCTCTGATGTCACCTAGGGACCCCCACAGAAGCTGATGAAGCAGAGATCTGCTTCATCAGCTTCTCTCCGGTGTTCTGCACCGGAGAGTGACACTGAATGCAGGAAGTGATGTAATATACATCACTTCCTGCATTCGGGGACAGGAAGAGAGATCAAAGGGAAATCGAGTAATGATCTCCCTTTGATCTGCTGTTAGAGCGTCGCCGTGCCGGTCCCAGCCGCAACGGCCACATCGGATCACGGACCGGCAGCGGCGACGAGGAGACGGCGGGACAGAGGTACGGGGGTGTGGGGAGGCCGCACACACGCAGCTCCTGCAAGCGATCGGGGCGTCTCTAGAGACGCCTGATCGCTTGTATGTAAACAGCCATCGCTGGCTATTTACATGCTCACAGTTTCCCCTCTCGTGTGCCCGCTGAGTGCCGCACACGGGAGGGGGTAGGGGCAGGACGTCTTAAGACGCCCTCCCGCTCCTAGCAGACGTCCGTCCGGCCGTTCACAAACGGCCATCGACGGAAGGTGGTTAAGAAATATTTTCTATGAAAAAACACTTTTTGTATACCTAAATCTTGAAACAATGGTGGGATCCCCTTTCAGTGAGAAATTCTGTTTTTGCTATTGGATACAACAGGGGACCCTCCATTGTAATTAAATTGAACCTTCATTGATTAATATTACACTTTTCAAACCTTCCCACCCCGCATTATATATTATATATTCTTACATATTGCACATTTCTTACATGGATAAAAACCTTTTAAATTAAAGAAAACTTGGACTTTTAGGCAAATTAACTATATTTTGTGATAATATTTCCCTCCAATCTGGGACTCTTCTATAGAAAACTGGAGGTTTATCAGGTAAAACACTTCTAAAATCTGGTCCCTTCATAAAATTAGCCAATATTTTGTCAGAATCCATTTGATATCATAATACTGTGTGGAAAAAACAGTAATAAAAGCAAAGTCTGTGTTGCTTAAATCAAGATCTCCATCAGAGGTAATCAATTTATCTAAATCTTTGCTTAAACAATCTGTCTTCACAAACCTATTATTTTTTACATTAGCTTGTTCTAAATAATCCTCCTTATTCCTTTTACGACTAACACATTGTCTTTTAGGGACATCTTTCTTAAGAGACTGTAATATACAGGAGTACAGGTACTCCTAGAATGAGATCCTAATAGGTTGGACTTGATGGACTAATGTCTTTATTCAACCTCAAACACTATGTAACTATGTAACTCTTATCCAGTTAGAATGATGGTAGCAGTTGTGTGGTATATACCTATTACTGTCTTTACTCTCTAAGTACATCCTAGTTTTAATCATCCCATCATCAACAAAAATGGACAAATATAAGAAATTGACTGATAGCACTAAACTTGTATGATCATTTGATACTAAAGCAGAACTCCAGCTAGATTTTTCCTTAACCATTGCAGTGAGGCTACCCCCACACTCAAGGGTTAACATCTTGTTTTTGTCTAGGTGCTAAACAAAAAAAGGGTATACTCACCAAATTCTAGGAGCCGGCTTTCTCTTCGACCGTTCCCTGGAGCCTCTCTCCCCTTTGGCTGGAGCGTTCTAAGGTCCCATAAATCATCACATCCTACAGTATACACAGTGTATATACTGTATGTAAGGAAGATTCCAATGCTGCAGCAGAGGAGAGAGGCTTTAGTGACATCAGACAGCCGGCTTGGCGGTTTGGGTATAAGCTTTTTTTAGCACTTACCAAAGAGTTATAAACACGTTTTCCTGGAGTTCTTCTTTAAGGTCATTATAATTTAATACTCCCATCAAATTCATCAGAAACTGTTGATCCCCATTCCAAATCAGCAGGGTATCATCTATAAATCTAAGAGGGCCTGCATCAAAAACTACCTCTTCCTCACCCTTACCCTTAAAAAGGTTGGCCATGCTAGGTACAAATTTAGCGCCCGTAGCCACACACTGTACACATATTGGTTATGAAACCAAAAGTTGTTGTGATACATGGCAAAATTCAAAAAACAAATTTAAAATAGTTGGCTTTTATTTATCAACCATGCCTGGTTTATCCCAAAAAAATATTGGACAGCTGTTAATCCATTAGTGTGTGCAATACTAGTATAAAGAGATACTAGTCAGCTATCACAAGAATATATCCTTGTTTCCAGTCAAGTTATTAATCACATGTTTCGTATCTATGATGTTACTATGTTTTTGTGCACCTAAATCAATTTGAGTGTATTTTTGAAAATAAAGGTTTGATAAACAATTGTGCTAATATCGTGCGGCATAAAAAATAGCAGCTGTCATTGCAATTCAATGGGTCCTCTGCTTTCAGAAAATATATAATGTTTTGGAGTTTTCAGTTCACTCTCATGTACAAATTGCGAATTTTAGCATGTGTGTGCAAAATAAAAAGGCTTCAATAGTGAAAGGGTTAAACCATGGTAAAATGTACATGTACTTCAGAGATATACTGTATGTGCTTTTTTATTTTGACCACACACTTAAAGCAGAAAGTAAGTTAAACAGGTTGTTTTTACCTCTGTGAATCACTCAGAAAACAAGGAGTTCTGTGAATGGGCAAGGGGAGAAGTAGCCACCATTCCAAGCTCACTCCCGTGATAGACTATACTTTTAATACAAATTAGTAAACTAAACATGAGATTGTAGTCTATCATGAGAGCGAGCTTGGAGCGGTGGCTACTTTACAAAACACACAGGGACCAAAAGTAGCTACCTTCCAGAAGGAAGGACAGTGTCAACACAAATTCAGAGGTGATTTGAGGATCTACAGCTGAATGATACACAAATAAACTATATTTTTGTTAATAGTTAAGGTACTTGAACGAATTTTAAAATTTAACTCCTGAATTTAGTGTCACTGTAATACTTCACCATAGCGCCAGAACTATAGTGCTGGCTGTGCTCTCCAGCATCAATGAAACTAGGAATCTTTATAAATGTATAGAGTGGCTAATTTTGCTTTACTTGCGTGCAGGCCAGGCTGTTGTGTTGGCTCCTCCGTGAACTATAATTCCTCTCGCAACCTTCCTGATGAAGTGTTAAGTTTTATGAAATCACACCCCTTGGTTGAGGATTCTATTCCCCCTCTTGGAAGCTCTCCATGGATTACTAGGACAAGGTAAGAAAATATAGAAGACAAATACAGAGCTACAATGCAGAATGTGCTAGATTTAGATTATAATGACTTTTGATTAGTAATTCCACTATTACCTGTAAATATGCAAAAACTAAATCAGATTGCTTTATGCTTGAAGTAAATATGTCAGAAACTTAGGCAGTTCAGACTAAGTGTATAATGAAAAATATGTATAAATATGTAGGAGATTACCTTCAGCTACAAACTCATGTCAAAATGATCAGGTGATCCAGTTTTCCTTATATGTAACTGTTTACCAAGCTTCCCTTTTGGACATTATATACAGAGTATATGTACATATACTGTATATAATAATGCAATAAACACAGGACTGTGCAGCACAGTTGTAACGGGAGCCAGGAAACCAGACCACACGGAAATGCAGGTAAAATAAAGTCGTTTATTTAAAGGAACATAAATAAACATTCATCAGGGAACAGCAGCAGCGAGGTCAGGAACAAGCCGTAATCAAGTCCAATGCGGGTACGTCTGCCAAGCCGGGATCAAGTCCAATGCGGGTACGTCTGCCGATGCAGGGTCAAGAGCCAGAGGAAACATCAGCCAGGCCGGAACATACACATAAAGACACAAAGGAACTCAGACTGCTAGAGATGTACCTTGGAGCACAAACGCAAGGGCAATGAAACTGAAGTTTGAGCAGACTGATATAGTCAGGTGTGCCACATCATCACTGTGCGATGCCCAGGCAGCAGGCCAACGATGATGCAATCAGAGATTATAAGAGACTGCAGTCTGCACATGTCCAAAATGGCTGCCACCATGTGGACAAGGTAAGACCTTGACAGCAGTGGACACGGGGTTCTGCAACGCAATGGGTTTAGGACTTTGCAACACATTGGCTCAAGATTTTGCAATACAATAAACTCAGGATTCTGCAACGCAATGGACTCAGGACTTTGCAATGCAACAAACTCAGGACTCTGCATCACAATAATCTCAGGACTCTGCAATGCAATAAACTTAGGATGTTACAGTAAACTATGGACTCTGCAACACAATAAACTCAGGACTCTACACCGCAATCGACTCAGGACTCTTCACCGCAATGGACTCAGGACTCTGCCACGCAATAAACTCAGGACTCCCCAAAGTAATAAACTCAGGACCCTTCAACACAATAAACTCTGGACTGTGCAATGCAATAAAGGACTCTGAAAAGCAATGTAATCAGGACTCTCCAAAGCAAAAAACGCAGATATTTGCAATAAAGTATGCCCGGAAAGCAGAGATCATCTAAAAGACACCGGACCTATCTGCGGAGAGGATAGAGACAGCGCTCAAGTGGGAAATTGACGAACTTCAGTCTAACTTATCTCAAACCACGAACAGAGGTAGGTGCAATAATGTTAAACTTGAAGGCATTCCTGAATCGGTGGATAGCTTGGCTCTTAAGTGACAAGGTGCGCTCTATCCTCAATGTTTTACTGGATCATCCTGGGGATTCGGAGCTAGAATTGAATCGTGTCCACAGAGTGGTGGGCCGACCTGACCCTGACCTAGCTACTAGGCCGCAGGACATCTTTTGCCTCATTAATTTCTACACGGAGAAACACAGATATTTGCAATAAAGTAAACTCAGGACTCTGTAACGCAATGGATACAGGACTCTGCAATGCTATAAACTCAGAACTCTTCAATGCAATAAACTCAGAGGACTCTGCAACACAATGGACTCAGGACTCTGCACCACAATAAACTCAAGACTCTGCACCACAATTACCTCAGGACTCTGCACCGCAATAGACGCAGTACTCTGGAATACAATAAACTCAGAGGACTCTTCAATGCAGTGGACTCAGGACTCTGGAGCGCAATAAACTCAGAACTCTGCAATGCAATAAACCTAGGACTCTGCAATGCAATAAACCCAGGACTCTGCAATGCAATACACTCAGGACTCTGCAATGCAATAAACTCAGGACTCTGCAATACAATAAACTCAGGACTCTGCAACACAATATAATCAGGACTCAGCAACACAATATAATCAGGACTCAGCAACAAAATGGACTCAAGGCTCTGCAATGCTTTAAACTCAGGACTCTGCACTGCAAGGGACTCAGGACTCTGCAATGCAAAAAACTCTGGACTCTGCAATGCAATAAACTCAGGATTTTGCCAAAAATAAGCTCATGAATCTGCAAAGCAATGGACTCAGGATTTAACACTGCAAAAAAACTCAGGACTCGGCACAGCAATGAATTTAGAACTCTCCAAAGCAATAAACTTAGGACTCTAAAACGCAATAAACTTAAAACCGTGCAATGCAATAAACTCAGGATATTACAATACAATAAACGACAGATATCACAATACAATGAACTCAGGACTCTGCAAGGTAATGGACTCAGGACTCTGCACCGCAATGTACTCAGGACTCTCCAAAGCAAAAAACACAGAATTTTGCAATACAGTAAACTCAGAACTCTGCAACACAATGGACGCAGGACCCTGCAATGCGATAAACTCAGTACTCTTCAATGCAATAAACTCAGAGGACTCTGCAACACAATGAACTCAGGATTCTACCCCGCAATGGACTTAGGACTCTGCAACGCAAAGTACTCAGGGCTCTGCACTCTAATAAACTCATTTAAACTAATAATAAACTCAGTACTCTTCAATGCAATAAACTCAGAACTCTGCACCACAATGAACGCAGGATTCTACAATGCAATTAACTCAGTACTCTGCCACGCAATGTACTCAGGACTCTGCAATGCAATAAACTCAGGACTCTGCACTGCAATAAACTCAGGACTCTACACTGCAATAAACTTAGTACTCTGCAATGCAATAAACTTAGTACTCTGCAATGCAATAAACTTAGTACTCTGCAATGCAATAAACTCAGTACTCTGCAATGCAATTGACTTAGGACTTTGCACCACAAAAAATCAGGACTCTGCACTGCAATGAACTCAGGACTCTCCAGTGCAATAAACGTAGGACTTTGTAACACAGTAAACTCAGGACTCTGAAACGCAATAAACTTAAAACCCTGCAATGCAATAAACTCAGGATATTACAATACAATAAACTCCGGATATCACAATACAATGAACTCAGGACTCTGCAAGGCAATGGACTCAGGACTTTGCAGTGCAATAAACTCAGGACTCGACAACGCAATAAACTCAGGACTCTACACCGCAATGGACTTATGAATCTGCACCGCAATAGACTTAGGACTCTGCAACGCAATAAACTAAGGACTCTTCACTGCAATGGTTGCAGGACCCTGCAACACAATAAACTCTGGACTCTGCAACTCAATAAACTCACGACTGTTCAACACAATAAGCTCAGAAATGTGCAAAGCAATGGACTAAGCTTCTATGTGAGTTCTGCAGTACTCAGCCATTTTCCTCTCTGGTGCCCTTCCTGCCACCTCTGGACTCTGCAATGCAATAAAGGACTCTGAATCGCAATGTAATCAGGACTCTCCAAAGCAAAAAACACAGATATTTGCAATAAAGTATGCCCGGAAAGCAGAGATCATCTAAAAGACACCGGACCTATCTGCGGAGAGGATAGAGACAGCGCTCAAGTGGGAAATTGACGAACTTCAGTCTAACTTATCTCAAACCACGAACAGAGGTAGGTGCAATAATGTTAAACTTGAAGGCATTCCTGAATCGGTGGATAGCTTGGCTCTTAAGTGACAAGGTGCGCTCTATCCTCAATGTTTTACTGGATCATCCTGAGGATTCGGAGCTAAAATTGAGTGGTGGGCCGGCCTGACCCTGACCTAGCTACTAGGCCACAAGACATCTTTTGCTGCATTCATTTCTACACGGAGAATGAGTTGGTGTTGCTCAATGCATGGGAGAAGGGTGCCATCACAATGGACAATGCTCAGATTACGGTCTTAAAGGCAGAACCTTTCTCATGAGGGATCTCTTTCGATCGCTTCTGTCGCACATCAAAGTCTTGGCCTCTCCTACAAATGGGGGCACCCCTTTCAACTGGTGATCCGCAATGGAGACTCTTTGTTTTGTTTGCAGTATCCTGCCCAACTTCCAGCGTTATTCCACTTCCTTGGATCAGAAACGTTCTCTATCTCGGATTTGATTAACCTGTTCTCTCCACTGCTGCCAAGACCACAGCGCCGACTTGTGCTGTCAGGAATCCTCGTGGGGTTGGCATTCCTGACCTGATGGCTATGGACCCCCTGGCTTGGTGATTCTACACAAACTCCTATCGTCCAATGAGCTGGTTGACTGGTCGTTCCCTACTTTGAACTCCTTCTGCTACAGCTCGTCTCATATTGCCTCATACTACGGTTATGTCTTGACTGTTTCCCTTAGGTTGATTGATCTGCATCCCCCTTTTTTGAATCCTCTCGTATAAAGAAGTGTGGGAATCGTCCACTCTACTGCATGAAGTGGTTCTCCTACCCCCAACCACATTGTTTATTTTTATGTTTTGTAGGTTATGTCTAGTGGTTTATGTTGTTTTAGCCTTTACTAGTTTTATTGTAAGGATGTTTATCGTAGCTGCAGATTGTATTTCTACCGCACATTGCCTTCTGTCTCACGGCTGTGTTTCGCCCCGGTGCTGCCTCTTGCCATTTCCTTTCCCCTTAGTACTCTTTTTGCACTTGGTCTTGGCCAAACACCACCTTGGTGTCACTTGAGGTGGGACGAGTTCGAGGAGACATGTGCCGGCTCATGTATATTTCGGTGCTATGAGTGATACCTCTTTGATAAACTTCCTCTTGCCTATTGCATTCATGGTTTTTGGTTGTGTGGGGGGGGGGGCAACTATGATTTCGGGGTGTGTGCCCTGGGGGTGTCGGTTTTGGTGGTTTTCCGCAGTGGTAGAGTTCAACCCTAGAGGACATTTGGGTGCACTATTTGGCTGGGAGCCTTTTTGTCCCCTCGGGGTGTCCTTTTTTTCTTTTTCAGTTCTTTGCATTTCCCTTCTCTCCATGGCACTCCACTGGCACTGATACCCGA